TCCTCGATGTAACTGTTCCGCCATTGTGCAGTGGTTCCCCCCTTCTAATATTTGGCACGTGCCGTTTCCGCATATGCGGCTCGGAGATGACGGTGTTGGGAGCTACACATTTGCCTGTAGCGGACTCTGACTCCGAGGCAGGGGCATCCGCTTCTGGCGCAACCGAGGTCGTCCTGCGACAGGAGTCCGGCGACGTTTTCTTTAGCTGCGGCCGTAGTTCTACGGCAATTTATGCAGCATAGTAAACTTATGCACCGACCGATTTTTTTTTTGTCAACCCGCATACCGGATTTGTCAACTGGGGACAGGGGTAAACAAAAACCGACATCGGTGATAGATAACAGAATACAGCGTACGATGAATGATTGATCAAAATGTACACGGAACATTATAAAAAGGACGGCTCTGGCGGCTATCCTGTCAATTTACCATATTCAAATTATCAGCTGAGGAAGAGCGCACTCCGCGTGGCGCGCCTCTTTGGTAGTGTTTGAAGTCTCGTGATTCGAAAGATTGTGCCGTTAATTGCTTTGATAATAGCCCTACTGAGTCGGAAGGTGATGTGAGACCATCATATTTTATTTCGGACTGTAATGATTTGTTGAATAATTCCAGGGAGCATCGACAACTGCGCGTCGGTGAGGCTTGTTATGGTTTTGATTTTCATGTTCTTTGCTTCTTTCTCGATCAGGTTCTAGCACTTTGTACGTGTTGTCAATTCATCTTGTGGTTAGATCAGACATTATTGTTTGGGTTTCTGTATTGTTACTTTTTCCCCACGAGATTACGATTTATTATGAACGAACACGCAGCCGAGGAGATAGTGCTAGAAGTATATAAATATATATGTAGCGCTAAGCGTTACGTATAAGGCGTCTGCACAAAAATATCTTAAAAGATTCCCATTTTAGTTGAGGAATTTCGGATAGGAGAATAAGGCAAACAGACGTGGACGTCCCGTGTCTACACCACCAAAAAGTAATATATCTTCAATGGAAAGAACGACGCGCCGCAGACATGATGAGAACTGAACATAATGAACAACTGCATCGCAATTCCTCTAAAAAATATAAAAAATGGAGAAGCGAATTAACTGCAAGATGTGTTACAGAACTGGGAAATTGAGCACGAGCCAAATGTATTTTGCAGTAGCTGCTGCAATAACCTGCGTTTCACGTCATTCAGAAATGGATCCACTGAGTGGCATGCATAGCCACGGTGTGGAAAAACTTAAGTTTCTCATCTAGACACTGCAATTTGCAAGCTGTCTTGCTAATAAATTTTGGCATATTTGGTATGTTCTGACAAGTTTAGCTGTCGTTTTTGCCGAGATATCCGCATATATTTTTCATTTTTGTTGTTTTAGCCACAATAATTTTGGTATTACGAAACCAAATTCAGCACAATTTATTCGACTCTCATTCTATACTTGTGTCATGAAAATATTATTTTATGATGAAAAATGTTAACATACCCCACTGTTAATATCCTCAAAGAAAAATTTAAAAAAGCCAATATTTTACAAAAAAAAAAAAAGGGGGACTACTGGGACTTCTCCAAATCGGGCAGTTTTCTCGTGGTAAGGAAAGAGTTAAGCTCTGAGTGACCCAAACTCAATGTCTGTACACAGGAGTTACTATGACGGTGTTGGTCATTGATCGGCTGAACCCATACTCTTTGGGAGTTTCGAGACCGTGCAAATGCTGCAGTCGTGTTCTCTACGCACTCACAATGATACCATTGGTGTTTCTCAGGCCCCGTCATTTTTAACCCGTTGAGGAAGAAAGGTCTCACTGCCCCCACTCACAGTTTGAGAGAACTCGGGCCTGGCCTAACTTATGATGTTCTTTTTCCTGCTTTAGGGATCGTTTCTTGGCGTTTTTATGAGCTAAAACGCGAGACACATGGGTGACAGGGCCTATCCGATCCTACGTACGAATCATCGGAGAATAGGCTGCTCCGACTCGACGCACACAACAGTTCGAGACTCATGCTTCCAACGCGTCGTTTCGTTCATCTCTGCCCAGATCCGGATATCCCTCCACCGGACGGATGAATGGATGCTAAAGGCTGTATTCATAGCCGGTGGTAGCTAACACCAACTCTCCTAGAAACCCCCAAAAAATGTTATTCCTCCTCTCGCCCTTCGATGTTTTCCTGACCTCAAAACGAACACAATATTTTTTATTGTATTCCACTAAAGCTTTGTGCATGTCTAAATATTTTAAGTAGGGTGACTTTGTTTTTTTTTTCTTTTGCTCAACCTCATTAATTACGATAGACCGCAGCGTACTTTAGTAGTTATCCCAGCGAAGCGAGCACTGCGTACAATCACGTGAATCCCGGAGAAAAGCTCACCGGAGAAAAGCTCACCGGAGATAAGCTCACCGGAGAAAAGCTCACCGCAAAACCGGCGGATGCGGAGAAAAGCTCACCGGCCATTCAGCGTATGCGCAGAAAAGCTCACCGATATTTTTTTCTTCTTTTTATATGGAGGCTGTTGGTTCGTGCGTAACATATATCAATTTATTATCATAAAATTCGTCAGCTTTGTAAAAAATGAAATGTTCTCTTTTGTAATATTTGTTAAGCTTAATGGGTATGTTGCTCCCAAATTAATAATTGCGGGCCAGTGTTTTTTGTGGCTTACTCTTTAGGCAACGAAAGCCTAACTAAAATCTTTATGAACTTGAAGAACAGGAAAAAGTTAAAAAAAAAAAAAAAACGTAATGATGACTGCCTAAAAGCTAAAAATCAAAGGTGTAAATGCCGAAAATTCAAAAGTGCACGCGCTGCACCGCGGTGCCTGAAATTCTCTTTGTAGCTTTTGTTAACATTTGAAAACAGGATAAAACAGTCAATAGGATATCGAGGCTTCTTTCTTCCACGGACATGCACGTTTTCTAACCGTTCGTGCTGGCGTTTCCACACGTTCCCTTTGTGTAATAGTGTCCTTCTACGGTGCGCCAGCCACGACCTTCAGAGATGCACACTGTCTCCGTTGTTATTCGTGAGCTATATAAGAACTAGTTATTTGTAAGGTAGGTAGCGAATTGGGCGAGTAGGTAAACGTTATACATGATGAAAACCGTTCAAGCGACGACGACGGAGTGAAGACAACAAACACGACACGACGAAGCTGTTCTCGCAACTAAAGTTTTGTTAGTGAAATTAACAGAAGGAAAACAGCATAGCCGACACTGATTACATTAACAAACATCTACTTATCTATTAGGCACTACGCAATATTTGGACCTCTAGCGATTCACACACCGCTATTCATATCAGCTCGCAAAAAACAAACCTCTTTATCTGACAGAGCTGCCAACGGCGCATTCTCAGCTGTCAATAAATTGTTGCCTTTTTTACCGGTGTACGATGTTCTGATTTTATACTTGCGGCTTCATTAATTTACAGAATGGGTGATTACTAATTTCTAAAAAATTAGTAAATATGCCCAATGAACTTCAAGAATATTACAAAAACGAGGACATATTTTAATGAAGTAACGAATGCGAATTGTGTTAAATCGCCACGTTTTACGCAGAATCAAGCTGAGCTAAAAAAATATCGGTGAGCTTTTCTCCGCATCTGCCGGTTTATCGGTGAGCTTTTCTCCGGTGAGCTTATCTCCGGTGAGCTTTTCTCCGGTGAGCTTTTCTCCGCCGCCCCAATCACGTACCTACGCACTCCGCGCATTGTTACGTCACTTCCGGAGGTCACATGACCTTCGCACGGAATTAGGTTGGATCGTGGCGTCCGCCGCTGCCCATCGTATAATGTGAAACGGGGTATATTCGGATCTCCACGATCTCGGTCGATCCCAGAAGGTTGACTGAACTACGTCGACGGTCCGCGCGACGCACAGCTCACATCCGCTTCCCAGCACCTCCTCTCCCGCCCGGGCCGATGGTCACGGGACAACGTTTACGCCATCCGCGCTGCCGTTGGCTGCGGCGCGATAACGATGTGGCCAGGTATTGCTATGAATTGGTATTGTGCACCTGGGGGTGGCTACTATGCGAGAGGTACCTTACGGCTTACTAAGAATAGCCGGGTGGCACTTGATAAGGTTTGCGTTTCTTGCACCCTGGTTTCGTCCTTCTGAGTACTCGTCAAGCTCCTGTGCTTCCTAAGATGCCATTAACGATAGTTGATAATGCAACAAATGTTTTTTTATCTTTTTTTAACGGAACTGCCTTCCGTTCACAAAGTATTATCTGTCCGTGCGCCCGTCCTTGCATTCCCCGCTAAATTAACTGGGGAAACTAAATTGGGAATTGGGTCCCTTGACGTCAATTGATGTCAAGTTACCTGGCGTCGCGTGATCTACACACCGATTAAGTTTCCCAGCAAAAATCGTCGGAAAAATCTATGTCTCGTTACCTGAAACACCAATCAGTTTCCCCGGTAAATTTAGCGGAAAAAATGACCTAACGTGACCTCGCGTGACGTCTACACCGATTCAGTTTCTCCGCAAGGTTCGGTGGGGAAGTTCATGTTACGTGACCTGTAAGACCAATCAGTTCCCCCTAAATTTAGCGGGAAAATTAACTTTACGTGACGCCAAGTGACATCTGCACCAATTCAGTTTGCCCGCTGAACTTGTGCGGTGAAATATTTGCCACGTGGGCTTAACATATTCGCTTTTCCCGCTAAATTTAGAGGGGAAATTGACTTCACGTGACCTGACAATGAGTGCGTGTGGCGTACTGATACAATTTCCCCACTAAACCTAGCAGGAAACATTACACCACGTGGACTATACATTTAGTTTCCCCCTGAATGTAACAATAAAATTGAAAAACATAAAATAAAAATGAAAAAAATTCTTTAGTCTCTGAGATTACTGTTTGAAGTCTTCGAGGTAATTTTGAACCCTCTCACTTTGAATACTGCGTTTAAAACATCATATTGATTTTGAGGGAAAAGATCGCCTACATCATTTTTCAAGATCAATTACTGATATACTCTTATTTCTTTTCTTTTTTTCTTTTCAGTTCCTCAAGAGTTACGAAAATGACAAACGTAAGTTACCACATCGCCTTGCTCACGAAACGTCTTAGGAAAATGAGTGTCTTTTATTCTGCTGCAGTGGGTTTTTACGTCCCTATGATTACCGGGGAGTTTCTTTTCTTCATATAATCGCCGAGGCTCGAACGCATTTGTGGATAATTGAAGGAGTGATTGAATCCCTGCCCCGCGTCCTCTCCTTCTCCCGATGCCCTTACTCCTAGCGCATATCCGGTCGTGTTTCGCATACTGGGAACTGGTTATTCCATGTTTCGACTACAGCCCTCGTATTACTCAATGAAGGAACACTCGATCGAAGCAACACAATATATGTAAACTTATTTTGTACTACTTTCATGTAGGAAGAAGTATACTTCTAGCAGAAAACAATAACAGAACAAGGACGAAACATAGACGGGCGCGGTACTATGAACGCCTCATATACCAAAATCCGCTTTATAAAAAAAAAAAAAAAAAAAAAAAAAAAAAAAAACTTTTAAAGTTGTTTTGTCGATCTGTCAATATCTGAAGCATCCTTTTAGTATACGCTTTACGAACATCGTGTTTTAATGGTGGGGTCCGCGTGTCGACCCAGACTGGCAAGTAAGATGTGCACCCTAACACTAGCAGAGATGTGTGAACCATTCTTTACTTGGTGTCTCGCTCCTAGAGGTGGCGAAGACTCGTAAAATGATGCCTTACAAGCTTTTCCTGTGATCGTGACCGTCGTGGTAAGGAATAAGAATAATGTCCTCATCGAAACTAGGGCTAGTCTTCAGGCGGGCTTGTGTAAGTTTTACAAGGATATTTTAAACGGAGATTTGGCCAGTGTGAGGAAGACATTTGCGGTGGTAAAAAAGGACAGATGATGTCTCAACGCCTATCGAGATGTTGTTTGTCGCCATTTCTTTTCTTAATTCTTTAAACTTTTTTTTTCTTCTTCCACCCTAGTCTCTGGGCATTATAACTATGATATTATCATTATTGTATTTTTATCAGATGAGGCTAGGTGAGGAAGCTTTGACATCTGGCCGCTAGCGCTGCTGCTCCATTTTTGGCGAAGACTTGGCGTTTTGGGCTGTGTGGTTTATTTACGAAAACAAGGGACTCTTTTCCCTCAAGCTCCCAAAATAGTTTATGATAATATGCGCTTGATAAGAAGTTGGCTAATTATTCCCATGCATGGTTCGACCTTCCCGCAAAATCCGTTGTAAGCAGAATTGTCTGCAATAAATAAAAAATTGGAAAGGCAAAACGGCGTTCTGATACGGGGGTATTCCCTTAAGAACGCTGACAGGACGTTTGACATGTTTTCCCTTTCTGGCACATCCAACTGTTTTTTTCTTTTGTTGTTTTTTGCCAGATTGATTTTTAGTGGGTTTTTTTTTTCGCATAGCTTGGCCTTTTCTCATTGGTGGCAGTCACTCGCTATTCCCGTGTCCTACGACAAAATTATTGCAACATCAAGTTTAAAAAAGAAGATGCATGCTCTTTTTCGTTTAGAACAAAATAAGTTTGTTTATAAAAAAATGTAGGGTTTCAATCGAACAGACCGCTGGCTGGTCACGCCTAGGAAATATCTAGGACTTATGCAGGAAGTTTGATTCAATTGCGAACATATGTATTAAAGGAAACAAATCCTGAAACGGTTCAAAAATTCTTTCTGTGCTGGTGATTTATACGCCCAGGGGAACATAATAGAGAGTTTTAGTATCGCGTATGGGAGCAAACGTATAGAAAAGTATAAAACACGCAACGCTAACCGAAGCGCAAAGTGCTAGCTGTTGCTCGCATGCGCAACTAACTAATATAAGGGGCGAATCGCCATGATTGGTTAGACCGTTAGATCATTAACTTAGATCTGATAATTGGCCTTCTAATTAAGAGAAATAAACATATTGCTGAATTTGAAACGTGCTGAGTTTTACCAGAAAACATTAAATCAGTCAATTTTAGAAACTTGTGAAGCGCCCTGGGAAACAGATAGGTGCGCTAAGTTACGTAGACTCGTACAACAGTCGCAAGACTAGCTCTTGGAAAATTTGGGTGATAATCTTGTCATGCGCGTTTCCGCACTGCCGGCCTTGCGCTTGTTGTACGAGTGGTAACTTCACGGCAACCGGTCGCTTCCCAAGCGCGTAGATTATTTAAAAAATTACCAATTTGGTGATTTTTGATATACTCAGCAAGTTTCTGATTGAAACAATGTGATTATTTTCAATAATGAAGAAATTATACACCAAGCTTTGTTATTTATTCCACTTATTGTGAACATTAGCTCACTCTATTTCGTCCCCTGGCCGTACAACCCATCTACATAGACCGGATTACTGTGTCCTTCGCGGTTTTTTTGCGATGAATTTGTTTTACTAACTATCAACCACCCTGTACGTTTGCGCTAGATTCACTAGCGCAGCTGCAATGAATGATGTTTGGTTTTTGCTATAAACGTGTAAAACATTGGTGGTGCCATACATACAACCATATTTGTTGTTGTTTTTTGGGGAGCGCGGCTCTTACGCGCTAGATCCCGTGTTTTGTGGCGTCGCCGTCGCCATCGGCATAACCGCGCGCGTTGCATTACGGGACGTCACATGCCTATACACCAATTCAATTCCCCGCTAAATTTTGCCAAGAAACTGAATTGGTGTGTAGGTCTGTGACGCCTCATAATGAAACACCGCGAATTCAGTTTTTCAGCTAAATTTAGCGGTAAAACTGGCGTCACATTTTCTCAACACGAATCCAGTTTCCACGCTAAATTTTGCGAAGAAATTGTATTGGTGTTGAGATCGCGTGACCTCAATTTTCCCCCAAAATCTAGCGGAGAAACTGAATTTGTTCATGTGTTACGTGACAGGAAGTCACGTGACGTCATACTTTCTCTGTTAAATTTAGCGAGGAAACTGAATTGGTGTTGAGGTCGCGTGGCGTCGATTTTCCAGCTAAATTTAGCGGAAAAACTGTGGGCCGAGCGGAGAATATTAAGGAGGGGCAGGGGAGGAGGGCGAGGTAGGGGAGGAAGGGGAGGGGAGGAAGAGGAGAGGAGGAGGAGCGGAGGGTCGTCCGTACCATCCCTCCTCCTTCTCCTTCTCTCTCCCCTCCACTTTTGATACTCTTCTGCTCCTCGTGCGTACGCTCCCGTCATGGTGTATCGCAAAATCAAAATACCTCAAGAGCTGCGCTTTAATTTCGCGTTACAAAGATTTGTAAACGTCGTTCAATTTTTTTTAATGTTCATTCATAGAAGCAAAATAGGGATCTGGAAGTTTTTTAGCAGGCTGCCCCAGCCTGCTTACGTAACGGGAATGTATTAAATAGACAGTTTGTTGGATTCGACGCATTTCTACACATCTACTGTGACATTGTATGATTCCTTTTTTTTCACTAAAAATTTGACCGATTGAGGTTAAACCGGAGTTAATTCAGTGAACATATTTTATCCATTTGAACGGTATTAGCGCACAAGTATGGAGAAGAGAGAAGAGACAGGAAAGAGCGCTTAACATATTTTATGTTTGTCAGGGTAGATGTAATAAAAGTGCAGGAACTTAACTTAGGACACCTTAATAACTAAAAAACTAAGGAAACCATTGTTTATTAAAAAAAAGTGATTGAGTTTTTTTTTTTTTTTTTTTTTTGCTGTCTTGTGCGGAGAAAAAAGATACCTTAGATTATATCGCCACGAAAGCTCACGGCAGTGCTTCTCTTCATCGGAATAACATATACATATACCCTTTCAGTTCACCTAGGTCTTCGGCCATGTAGCTCTTACATCCGGTATGTTTGAAGGAAAAAAAATCAAATGATACATTGTAACCTAGAAGAAGTAAAACATATACAAAAGAAAAGAAGAAAGAAAAACAGACATTGAGAATTGCGATAATACCGTGAACCTCTTTCAGTTGCACGGCGAGGGCAAAACAATATTTTACCCCAATCTTGAAGCTCCACGTTTCAAGATGGCGACGACTACGCATACAATGCCGAGGCATGATTCGTAATGTACCGCAGCGGACGCTAAGAGCTACAGGAGCCAATTTATAGCTCGAGCCCCGTAGCTTGACACGTGGCCTTCCGGCTGGGCGGAGCGAAGTGCGGTTTGTGCAATCACGTCGCGCGCGTTGAATTGGCTAGGATGGCACCTGACGTCCCTTAGAGCACAGTGTGACGTGGAATGGAATATAGGCTGTGTTACAAATCTCACTTAATTGGATCCGAGTTACACCGGCGGGTCCTGTCACGTGACAACAAAGATTTAAAAAAGCTGGACGCCAGTAGGTTTGAGAACGCCAAGGTACAAAACCTCTACGCTGGAGTAAGATCGAATAAATTTTGGAACACGGCCTTTGTGTCATCCCACTTTAACTTATGCTTCATATAGCGTGGATACTTTTCCGGGCGATTCACTTCTATTGTAGCAGTGGTATATGTTAAATAAAACGCAGTGAAAATTATTTAACACTTCATTAAAGCCGCCTTTTTGTAATAAAAAAAAAAAACCTGCATCTCATCACAAAATGTATGCAGAATCGCGATGTTTCTCGCGATTTCTCCGTGAACCGTCAATGTAGGTTATGTCAAATTTTTTTTTTGTTTTTTTTGGGGGGATATGGGTAAGTGGACACATCCTGATACAAAATGGCTACGTTTGTACAAAAAAAGGTAGGCTCTGACACAAGCTAACATAATCTTCACACTTGTGTTTGTTTAGGACACGGGTCGAGTTCTTGTGATGCCTTACGACGAAAAAAAAACACACTGGCACGCTGGCGTCATCTGGGAGGTGACCCTGAAACTTTGTTTCACTACAGCGAAGTTTTTGCCGGATTTGCGAAATCAATGGATTGTGCTATCTATGGAAAATTGTCGTTTATGAATTCTGAAATTGCCTAAAAGCGTTTCGACCCAAGAAAGAAAGAATATCGCGAAAAAAGGTAAATGCATCTACCTGGCACGTATCCAGGGGGGGGGGGGGGGGGGGGAGGCATGGAGATGCCCCCCCCCCCCCCCCC